GCGTTACTCCCCGGAAAAGATAATAGCGCGTTCGTTCCCCACCATAGACACCTGCGGTCCAGAGTTTTGCAAATATCTCAATAGCTATATTTTACATTGTCGCTAATTGTGTCGAAAGCCGCTTGTTGTATTATGACAGCATTTGCAAATATCATTATTAGGCCGACGATAAGTGTGGTGAGTGGTTCAAGTCCAAAAAAACAATCATTTTTTCTCTTGCAAAGGCACTGCGAAAGCAATGTGACGCATGTATCAACAATTCAATTACGACTTTACAATATGTTTAGTGCCTAAATTTCTTCACCGATTTAAACCGACTGGATAGTGATGTTTGTTGAGGCGTCCAATCATCCTACATGTGTACCATATGACCAATCCAGACGTGACATCCATCGCACTGAAAAGTTGAGAATTGGTGAGGTGAGAGATGTAGAAAAGTGGTGTCGTTGCAGAATATCGATTAGTACAGTAGCCTATGATCGGTAGCTGCGTCAAACGTCAGCATAAAACCAAATGATGGTGCTTAAAATAAGAAAAGTCGATACCATATGCCAGCGTGAGTAATTGTATAGGTCAGATATGCATGCAATCATCTCTAACGATGCAACGAATGTAGTGGAATGAATGATGCACCCCATAGGGAATGATCAACACCAAGAGTTTTAACAGCTTCTAGCTTCACGACAATAACCATTTTGAGATATTTCGAAAGATAGACATTATATATCCACCATCAGCATCGTGTATAAAAGGGCATCACTGAGTGAGGATGCCTCATTCGAGAAGATGGCTCGCTGAGGAAGATCTGGCTCGACAGGAAGGCGAAGACGCAACGTCGAGGCGAACAACAAGCATGGACCATCGACTCGGATCACCGGCTCTGAGGAAGACGAAGACGTCGAAACGTTAGCCGAAAATAAATATATTTATCAACCTCGTGCAAGCTTATCAAGAAAGAATACATATTCATTTTGAGATATTTTGTTTGGAAATTGTAGGGATTTCTAGATTCTGTACATCTTTTGCCAATTTTTTCTGGATGAAACGTTTGAAAAATTCATAGCGAAGTTCTAGAGATTCAATAAGTGCTCTTAGCCCATCTATCTACAACAGACGCGGCTATGGAAAGCGAATGTGAAAGAGGAGCCGTTGTCATCTTGGCTCCAATCGGAAGCACATTCACCGTAACCACAACAGTGACCAGGCGAGTGTCCCATAACTGTAAGAGTTAATCATTGATGTTAGAATCAAATGTTCCATTAAAAAGAAACATTTCTATTCTAATAAGCACTATTATACCGCAGCTTTACCCGCAGCTGTAGTTCTTTTACAGATCACGGTACGAGACTCGCAAGCGCTACCATGCTCGAACACGACCACCACTATGGACCACGACTGCAAGAGATAGGAACGAATGGCATAAGTGCTGGGATCCGCACAGCTCGTGAAGACGGACCGTCGAAGTATCCAAGTAAGTAAGTAATAAGCACTATTTATCTATGCGTAAAAGTGCAGCAACATTTTTTCGGTAAAAAATGTATGTCTATAACACAGACATAACAATTATATAATAGATAAGTATTGATTGCATTCAAGAATGATGGATTCCACAAAGTGTGTTCGAACTGGATATTCGCTCACCGATTGTTTCATATCTTATTTCAAAGATTTTAGTTTTACCCGTCAAAGAAGGGCTTCTATTTCTCTCTTTAGGATAGTTCTCTAATCCTTCATGTAGTAGCAAGCACTTTCACTAAAAGCTTTAAACACTGCGCTTGCTATTTTACTCTTCCCTCAGCTTTTTTTGGACGAAGACCGTTCGAAAATTGTTTGGTTATCTTGGCTCGTTTGCTGCCCTCGTTCACTGACAGTTCTGTCTCTCCTTTGTATTCGCCGGTTCTGTGCAACACCTTTTCGTCTTCTTTCCATGCTTCGATTAGATCGCTTTGTTCTTTGTAAAATTTCTCCAAACTCGCTTTATTGCGAGTTGAGCAAAATAACACTGGTGCTCTGCAGGGATCTTAAAAGTGCTCGATTTACAGAGCGTACACCATGAGTTGAGTATGACAACACAAAAATGGTACTTTACCCATTAAAAATTGTCGATTTTCTTGTGTGAAAGAGGAAATAAGGCTATCGACGGGTTCCTACGCTGTTAAAATCATTGCGCCTTATGGCTCGGCAACACATTTCCAGTAAAGCAATGCCATTTTAGAAGAGCTCTCGTGATGCTAAAAAACATTCATCATGGTGCACTTAGTTCACTTAATGATATGAAACAACCAGAGTCAATTTTACATTAATCTCTTCGCCTTCCAAATAACGTAGACTTTCACAAACAGAATTCGAACGTCCTCAGTTATCCGACTACTTGAATAGATACTGCTATCCGCGCTATAAGATTTCAAAAGATTCTGACGATCTTTCGTCCACTGACCCTTCATCATTTAAGGTTCGACCAATCATCACCCTGAACCTTATCCTGACCCATTTGCTGGAATTCACTCTAACCCATTCACCTAACACCAAAATATTTCTAGATCACCTACGGTGAGCGCAACCAAACAGCATGTATGTAATGGAGTCATTCGATGTCACTTCATTTTATGCCAACGTGTACAATGACTCCAAAATGCAAGCCATTCTCGAGGTGCTCGTAGAGCACGAAAAGAAAATAAAAATGTACGGCTTGAAGGTTGCGCAACTAAAGACTCTCTTAAAACAGTGTATAAGTTGCTCAATCTTTAGGTGGTCTCGAAAATATTTTGCACAGGTTAGAGGTTGGCCATGGGACAGCGATTAGCATCAAGCCTTGTCATCGCTTTTATGTCTACGGTGGAAGCTCCAGTTCTCGATCGCCGACACTTACCTTACCGTCGATACATAGGCGACTGCTTCATCGTCTGTTCCACACAGGAATAGATGGATGTGTGCTCCAAATTGTTAAATAAACAGTCAGAGCACAAAAAATTTACACGAGGAAAAACCAACCAGAGCTGGTCTCCATTCTTAAACATCCAAATAAAGCTCTCAGAAAGTGGCTATACAACAAAATGGTATCGCAAGCCAAGTAGTAAAAATACACTGGTTAACTACCTCTCCACTCATTCTTCACACATGAAAAAATCACTTCGAAAACATGTGCCAAACGGCTAAAAATATGGGCACAAGGAATAGGAAGGGTAGGAATAGATAAAATTGGCACGAAAAATAACCATTTCCAATGGGTGCGAAGCAGAAACCACTCTGTTCAGACCTAAACGTAGGGTAATTCCTCAAAATACTTTTTCGAACCTAAGTAAGGTTTCTTTTAAGCTACCCTATGTTACGCCGTCAAGAGATGCTTGAGAAAAAGTGGTTTTGAAAACGATGTGGCGACTATTGACCGCTCCACTCAATACCCTACGCCGTCAGTTAGTTCGAAACCGTTTCCATGACCGTTTGCGCAGCTCAGAAAACTGTATGATCTGTCCTAACGGGAGGGACGGAGATTGCATGAGTTCAGGTATAATATACTTAATCTCATGTTATGCATGCGGCGAGGAATATATTGGGGAAACGGGTAGCCCGCTTTGTGTCCGAATAAAAGAACATCTAGATGGGAAAGTTAAAATCCGTTTAAACACTCTTCTAGGTATGCATAGGGCACAAAAGCACAACGGCGATGATTTTGAAGTGACTGTGAGGATCATAGCGCAGTAATCAAAAACATCAACCCGCAAAACTCTTGAGGTGTTTCGGATGGATTTCGAAAATTCAACGATGAACCGGAAAGACGAACGCCTCAATTCAAAATGATTTTTTGACCCCTGGGTGAGTCTCGCTCGCTGTCCCACGTGAACAACACACGATCAGTCCCACTCGTAACAGCACGTTGAGTAGCTTTTGATCGATATGGCGTTCATTCATATGATAGATCTTTGTTGAAACCTTGACTTTTTCACCGAATAATTAAACTATACTTGTACAAAATATGTCCAGGCTCTGAAGATGGTGAAATCGCCGAAACGTCAGCCATCGACGAACAACACCTACTTGATATTTGCTTGAATGGCACGTCCTCACTGGTTGTGGGGGCCCCAGCGTAACCTCCATTTTTCGGAGATTTGCTGGTTAAGCCATTATGGTTTCCTGGAGTCCCGAGGCCAGCCTTGCCAAAGTCTGCTCCAGGTCGCCACCACAACAGGCAGTGGCAGCCCTTGTGGATCAGAGAAAGATTTACCACCATGCCACTTTGATACCAGGTCGGTGGTGGATTCTGGTATTAGTTTACTCACAGCTAGGCTTCCTGATGGAAGCGCCGGACTCCTTAGGTTATGAGACCCTGCCGAGCGGACGAATCTTCCCGCTGTACAATCGCAGTTCGACACCCAGGATCACCTCCCAGCCACGATGAGGAGGTAATACCGTTGGGAGGAACAACACCAACGACAACGAAAATGACAAAAAAAACCTATACTAACCTCGCATCAGCTCAACAAGATGAGTTTGTAAGACCATATAAGTAGATATATCAACTATTTATACCGAGGTTCGTAGAAAGCCAGTGTTTTGATTTTTCGAAAGGTTATCTATCGATTAAATCTTACAGTATTTGACAGTATTGCGTTTCCTAGAATTCTCAGAATTCCTACAGTATGCTCTAATGACCTCAATAAATAATTTTAGATCTGCTGAATGTTAAAGCTAGCGAAATAATTTCTGGGCGATTGCAGTCACATTTATTAAAATCGGATTTTTCGGATAGAGTCTATGCAGAACGAATCAATAGAACAAGAAAAATAGCTCAAACGGAAAATCATTTGGGAAAAAACATGAGGAAAATATGACAGCACGAAGAATGAAAATTCTACGAGTTCGTATTCGTGCGGCTTCTTATCGGAGTTCTCACAGATGATTTTGCGGTCATCAAAAAAAAAGGAGGAAAAACCTGTTATCAATGAGAACTCATCCAGTTTCCGGCTTATTGTTGCTTTCGTTGCCATCAGTGATCAAGCAAGACGTCAGGTAGGAAACGTTTGAATGAAATGAATACCCTTGGCCATTGCCTGAGTGCTAAGTAACCTTTCACTTCAGGAAGCTGATCATAAAGTTGATGGTTAGTTACCAATTAAGAACAGGTTTATATACCGTCGACAAAATAAAAATAGCTTTTCAATAATCTGAAACATAGATTGTCTAAAAGGAGAATTGATCTAGATAAAGTACAACGAAGGGAATCGACATATCGATTTTTTGCCATGGATAACCCATGACAACATTATCATTGACGTTCTCGTGAACAGCATCTACGCCCAGGAATTTTGTGATCTTACCTTTAAAATCATCAACTTTGTCTCCTGATATTCAATACTCTGAATTTTCAACTGTTTCAGTCCTGTAACACATTGCTCTGGTATTTCTTTCTGATCTATTGTTAATATAATACTTCTTTTTCCAGTTATATCATTCTCTTCATGGTCAGATGTATTGTTCCCTACAACTTTTTCTTTTTTTTTTGTTTTCTGTACGTCAAGGTAGTTTTTCTTCATGTAGAGCAGTTGATGAATGGCGCAGTGCAAATAGGAGACTGAGTTTTTTACACGGCGGGTGGGTGCTTCACATCTTGGGAATTCATAAATGTGCCCCAATGTTTATCTGCAGGATTACTGATTGACCTGTATAATCTTACATTCATATACACCTTTATTTCAACTTTAATGATGTGCTTATTTTTTTCTCAAACACTACATCGTAGCGAGGAAGACTGACGTTGGCGAATCGCATAATGTAGTCGTAATTTTTCATTTGTCGTAGATTCCAGTAAATCTGACGGAAATTCTCATTCTCTTCGGACCACACGCTGGAAATTCTATGATCGTTATTGGTCTTGCCACGAATCAATTATAATGGTAATAACTTACTATCCACGCAGAGCAAGTTGGTGAAAACGGGTCATATTGGCCAATCGAAGCAATTCACCGTAAGTATCCACTTCTCCCCCATTCATATCCATTAGCAACAAATCAACGGTTGAATTGTTGAAGATGTCATTTAACAAGTTCTCTGTAGAGAATACTTCTAGGGACAAAAAATATATGACGAGGTCAACAAATTGTATTCAATTTTTCCCCACATATTTTATTGGCTTCCCAACGCACTGTGTTTTTTTTTGATCCTGGATGAGAACTAATTGCCCAATGATTTCCGCCTCTATTTAGTTTCCTAAGGGTACGGGTAGCACAGTGGTAGTGATGCCGTTCACCACAATCGAAATAGTGGTCCGATCCCATCTCGGGCTCACCAATCCACTTCTCCGTCCAGGATTGGAGGAATTTTTGCGGACTTGTCTGAACCCAATGCACTCTTTCAAATTCACGCAGGAACCCTCTAGCAAAGCTATCTGAGGAGTCAACCGAGAAACCTGGACAACCTGGACAAGCGTTCAACGATATTAATGAAGAGGGCAAAAACCCTCAAGTACCAGCCGAGCTTACGAATAAAAAAGTTCAAAGATCTTCGTGGACGATGAATGCGAGGAAATGAATGGAATGCACGAAGTGTTGAATTCCGCTCAGTAGATATGAGTCGCGCAAAAGCAAAATGATTTTAAAATTTTGATTTCCTTCGCTTTTTAATGTTTTCATGCTGTCTGTTGCACTGTAATGAACGTCTATCCAAAGAAGGTCCTCGAACAACAAATGAGCTATTATCACCGCTTCTTTTCAACGCAGAATTCATTCTCAACTTCGATGACCCTATTGGAACGATGACTTTGCCATTGTAAATCGCAATTCTGTCCTTTTGCAAACACAATAACACATTCAGCAACGATAATGCGATAAGCTAGTGGTAGAGAGCGAAGTTTAAAAAATGGAAAAGAAACGTATGTGCTTAATAAAACAAGCTATCGAATGACACTACACACCAAAATATTGACAGAGAAACTGCCTACAGAGATTGAATGCCACAAGAGTATGTCATTCGTAAGGAATCATTTTTGGCATTTCCTTCTCAAACACTATGTGTGAGCTCTGTGTTGAGTGCTTGCTTACCGAGAGTGTTTAGTTCCCATTCGCCGTCTACGGTTTCATTCATGTGCGTCAACCCGATGCCGACACGATGAACATTTGTTCCTAAGCTAAAATAGAAACGAAAATATCAAATCTGACACGAAATCTTTCTACAACTACTGAGGTCGTTAAACTACACCCGGATTCGAAAATTAGTCTGATTTCGGAGTCAAAGGAAAGAAAAAACGAATAAGTATGCAAAAAACTGAGTATTGTAGATATAATGTTCCATCAAACTTACCCTTCCAATGATTTAACCGGTGTGACTATATGAAAGTTTGGCATACGATAGAGTTCTAGCGGAATGTCCTCCGATTTCAGATCTCGATAACTGAAACTGATAACTTGTTTCCATTCACGAAGAGGAAGAGCTTCATGCTTGTATTGTCTGGATGTCTAGTCCCTGTCTTGAAAAGTTTACTAAATGGAGATGGTACTATGGTGTGAAAGTTCTTCATGAATTTTTACATTAATTCCGCTCTAATCCTCCTATGGTTTGCCATCTCAGAAATATTGGTGATATATAACTTTTATAATAGTGAGATATTTGCAAAACTCTGGACCTCAGGTGTCTGCGGTGGGGAACGAACTCCCCTGAAAGGACAATAGCGCGTTCGGTCCAGAGTTTTGCAAATATCTCAGCATTATAGATGTTATATTTCGCAACATACCCTGCCATTAAAAAGGAATAGGCAACAAATAAAAGGTTAAGAATGTTAGTGATGTTTCTGGATGCATTGCACAGCAAGGACTTTTCCCTAACATATTCTCTCAAAATAATGTCTTCGACAATTCCATGTGAATGTTAAGGTAGGACTAAACCCAATCCACAACTGATTTCAGCGAACTGGTCATGGCTGCTATAGGCGCGCCAAAAAAACCAGAAAAAGGGTATCAGTGCTAAAGCTTAATGCTCGTCGTATCCCAGCAGGTCAAGTCCACTGAGCAGATCTTATGCGCGAGAAGGACGAATTGGAGTTTATTGGTATCCGTTCGAGCTAGTCAGTGACCAACGAGATCACAATTGATACATATAATTTCTTTCTAAAGTGAAGAAATGAAAGATCACCTTATTAATAGTATGTTACTACTCTGATTAAAATCTGTTGAGCAATACAAAGGAAAATTCTTTTCGGATACAGTACGGCATACGGAATCCAATCGCAAATAGTTGGTAAGACGGTTCCGTTCTTCTTTTGGTGATCCTTAATAATCAAATTCGTGTAAATGATGAACATGGTTATTCAAGTCGTACAACGACGTAGTTTCTTGTAAGAGTCATGAAAACGCACTACTCTTTGACATACCGTTTCATCATTTCAACTTCTACAAGATAGATTATTGATCGGTAATGTGTACCAGAACGAGATGAATCTCACCCACCTAATCCAAAAACGGGAGCCATTGATCGAGAACGAAGTTCATTCGAATCCAAGCGCATCAAACTGACTTGATACTTGCAATTCTGGTTCCTTTGTCCACAAATACCTGATGATTTGGCACCGATTACTGCGTATCCTTCAGAGAAGAAGAGCCAATAGAGTAACTGATACCTGAGATGCTGCTTCATAAGCTGTTATTCAATAGTTGTTTCTAGACCTTACGTCGACTAGTTACTGTCATGCGTTAAAATTCTGATTGATTACGCCACAAAGAAATTATGCGCTCATGCTTCTGTGGAAGAAGATTATGTAAAGGCGCCCTTTTTTCATTGATTTCTATGTCACCTGGAACTTACCATTCCCCAAGGACGCGAATACCATCAGAACTAGCGACTGATTCCACGTTTATAGTGAGCGCCAGATGACGCGCTGTCATATTCTAAAATGAGCGTGATTAGAACATTTTCCCTTAGCATCAAAAAACTCGAAAAATTATCACATCTTACAAACAGCAAAAACATAAACGTAACTGCACCAATCGACGAACGACATGAGGCTGATCGAAGCTGTGAAATTGGAAAGCATAAAGGTTCAATTTAGCAATGTCATAGGTTCTACCACGAATAGCATACTCAACGTCCCATGTCATCCAGTGATTCCAATCGTTGAGTTCAGTGAGGTAATGTACCTCAACATCGCCTATATTAGAATGTAGAGGACAATACACTTAATGATTCCTAAATGATTTCATGAGATCTTTGGCCTATTGGTTAGAAACGTCGCGTACCTCTTAAATGCTCAATGAGGTCGCTTCCTTCCGGTAAGAAAACTGTCCATTTTTCTGCCTTTATATCTCGCTCAAACTTACCCAGCGATGAAGGATTGCCGGTGACAATTAACACCCGGCTAAAAGAACACGCACAGAAATATTTGTATTGGACTTTTCTGAAGCAATATCGTATCGAAGTAACGTACTTGATCGCTCCGCTCTCCTCACACACTGTAAACGATTCGGACGTGTCACCAAATTGCAGACTCCGATCACATCTAAATCAGTGATACGTTAAAGCCATCAGTTACAGAATAGCAATAGAATGGTTGCGAGCCAACTGTGCCCTTTGTAGCGGTGCTACTGTTGGATTCAGAATGCTATTCAATTTGGATAGAATGTTTTGGTGCAGCGTTAATTGAATAAGCCTACAAAAGAAACACAGAAGTGCATTAAGTATAGATAAAAGAACCATTAATAAAAGTAGAACTGCAGAGACAGAATTTCCATAGTAATTTCATAGAAGAGAAGCAATTCGTCGAAAGCACCGCTCACTTATACTGTCGCATCGCCAGTAATTCGTTCAGTCGTAGTCGCTCAACAAGCCAATCGTTGATGAGCGGTGGCTTCTCAACATCAATCGATCTCCATTCTAGCAACGACGGTAACCCCGATGGAGGCGATGCGCTATAAACTTTATGCTATCTTTGACAGCATAGCTTTATGTAATAAAACAAAAACTTCCTTAATACGGCTACTTTGTAATTCGTGGAAAAAATTAGTTAAATGGGCGAAAATTATTTGTGTTAATGGATATGGGGAGCAGCAAATGCTTCGAAATACCGTGCAATACACACATGGTCGCCGGTTCGAACCTGCCCTACGCAACCAAGGCTTCCACGACTCCGTGCTAAGCAAGAATACTTTAGCGGAGTTATCTCAGGATTTCAGAGAAAATCGACAAAACTAATGAAGCAGAGAAGTTTGTTAGGGCTAACCGAACCCACATACGAATCGGAAGACCTTCGTGGATGATGGGTGCAAGCAAAAGCGATTAATTGAATGAAAAAGTGTTAGGCCTTGAATGGTACGCGAAAACGGCTAGCATAAACAGTGGGAAACGTTATAAATTAATGGAAACGTCTTCATTTGTCAAATTCGACAGTAAGCATAGGTCGAGCGAAGTGGCATCATATAGAATTCGATTAAATAAAACTCTGAAAAAAGCCCAACTAAACAGAATTAATTGACATTAGTTTAAAAGGTACTGCAGAAAAAGACGTACACTGTGGAAACGAAAAAGGGTTCGATGTAAATTATTTCATGACATTTCCAAAATAACACGACAATGAGGCCGACGAACAGTAGCCGTAAGGCCAGCAGTGAGCTAAGGCGACGGTACATCGCTCATCTGGAACAGCATTCTTGTTATCGAACAATTCCGAACAAGCCGACAGGCAACAATGCGGGAGAGCGATTTTGTATTTTTTATTTAATATTACACAAAGGATAAGGAGAGTGTATGACGGAGTGGTTAGAATGCTGTGCAAGAATGCAAAGTGGTTGCTGAGATGACCTCAGACCCTGGGCTAACCAAGCCTTCCTTCTTTCTATTGTTGACAGGGTCACCAGATTTGTGCAAAAAATGGAAGAATTAACTGGATACGGCTCTCGTAAGTTATTATGAAGGTCAAATATGCAGCCTGTGCCAGTGTCTGTGCGACGCTGTAGATGTAGTCCAAGGTATAGCTAAAAATCAAATTAAGAAGGAAAAAGAAATAGAAACCTGGCCTGTTCAAAATCTCTAAACGCAGGTTTATTGGTAAAAGTGAGTGCTTGGTTTTTCAGAAGCAGACAAAATATCGGTAGACTGAACCCTAAAAAGTACAGGGATTGATTGTTCTGAGTTCAGAATCGAATGTGTTGTACTTCAGTCTTCATTCAGAAAGAGCGTCTAGCAAGATTTTCAGCAAAAATCACACAAAAATATGTCTAAGAAAAAAAACAGCAGTAGTAGAACAAAATCGGGAAGATGAGCACACCCGGTACAAACCCAAACAGCGGGGGCGTAAGAGATAATTTAACGTTGAAAATTACTACAGAGTGAATTCCAGATGAATGTGGTTTTTCTCGTGACGTCGCTTCCGGATGTCATCGTTCTGTACCTGTGGATGACTACTGGCTGAAATGCCTTTCTTTTGAAGAAACGGGATAAAGAACTCGTTCACGAAATTTATTAAACTAGTAAGAACAATTGACTAACTATACATGGATTTACAGAGTATTGAATATTGATTATTGAATTTACAGATTATTGAATTGTATAAATAGAACTTTAATAATGTTGAGATATTTGCAAAACTGTTGATGACAAATGATCGATTGAACTAGCTGAGAGACAGGCGAAACGAAGGACACGCGTGGTGTGGTAGTGAACGCGTTACTCCCCGGAAAGGACAATAACGCGTTCGTTCACCACCGCAGACATCTGCGGTCCGGAGTTTTGCAATTATCTCAGCATCATTAGAGCTATATTTCGCAATAAACCCTGACGTTAAAATGAGTAGGCAGTAAATAATAAGTTAAAATTATGTATAAATACTTGTGCAATAAATGAGTTTAATACATACAATGCCCATGTACCTATCATACGAAAAGACTAAGGCGTTATAAGAACTACGATACTGATCTATGAAAAGGCGTACAATATCAAGTACATATTGAAGTGGAATGGAATAAGATGGCAGCGGTTGTCGGCGAGCATGACCTTGAACCCTTCAGCCGCCCAAGGACAATGTCAACCATTCTTAGTCAACTCATACACCGTGGCTTTTTGGTTCACAAGAACAGAAAAACAACGGAAAAGAATAACACACGTTGTTCCACTTAATTTGTTGCCGTACTACCATAGCCCTAAAGAACGACGAACACACGTAGTTATAGGGGTTCCAAAAATGCATTGTGGTTGTAGTACTCTGCAGCATCGGATAGCCTTCATGTTGAAGATTTCACAATGATTAGTTGTGAGGTTATTTCGATCGTTCCCATGCAGTTGATAACATTTCTGTGAGATGGCGTATAACCAAAATTTCTGTAAGCATGGTGATTAAGTTTTATATGGGAGACTGAGATCGAGAGATCACTTTTAGTAAAAGAACGCTAAGGTTCGCACTTACAGAGTCTGATGGTCTACTAGGAAGTGTGCCTGGCATCAAAGTTCCAGTAAACTATACGTTAGTGCCCCGTCTAGTAAGAAACAATAAGGAGACTTGAAAAGACTTTGCGCAAAAAACGTCCTTCACAAATTTTTATCAAGGCATTGCAACACCGGCTAATGTGTGATAACTGCCACGACCGACTTTCTATTAACCTCGGCATTGATCAAGTGATTTTCTTCGTATTTTTGTTGAGCAAACGCGAGGTGTTACTATTCTTTGTTCACGATTAAGCTGACGTTTCGGCGGTTTTCGCCTTCTTCAGAGCCTGGAAAGGTCAAGTTGATAGCAACTCACTCGGCCAGACGCCTCCATAACCAAACAAAGAAACTCCAAACCAAGATTTCAATCACTTTGAACACAGCTTTGCACACTCACCGCTTTCTATGAGGTTTCCACTAAGTATGTCACGTAGAGACCAACCGCACAGAAATCACGTGGAAGTATAATGTGCCCCCCACATCAGAAAAGCAGTTTTATATACTGCCCTACATCACGCGTGATAATGAGGCATTCTTCCCTGCGGTTCATTTTCGGATTTCTGGAGTTAACGAACAAAGAATAGTAACACCTCGCGTTTGCTCAACAAAAATACGAAGAAAATCACTTAATGTGTGATAGTTATGCATGGAAAGTAAACTTGTGTCCGCTCTACTTACTCGACTCGATTGATGTAATTACAGTTCGTTAAAAAGACAAGTAACTCTTTATGCGAAAAAAATTACAAATCTCAGAGTGTAAAGACTTTGCTGAATTGAGCCGTGGTTTTCTATTTTCACTCCCACTCCATCGCCTCGATGTCGATGAATTGGCAGCATAGTGCTGTTCCAATGAATAGACTGCTACTTGTCCATCGCATGCCAAGTCAACTGTGTCTGCTAATACTCGCTGATATTATGAATTCTGGAGAAAAGCACAAGTGAGCTGTACTATTCGACGAGTCGTTGTCGTATTTTGCGCCCTTTGTTTAACCATTCATCGTGAAATCAACGAAAATCGCCGCCACAGAGCTTTCTTCTCGAAGAAAGCTATACTGCTGTGTTAATGCACATTTCACTGACGATCCAGCTGATCCATTGTTTAAAACTTACAATAGACAACCTGGTAGGTCCACTTTCTGCTAACAATATATTAATATACTACTGGCTTGTTTATCTTCGCCCTTCGGTAACTCATGGTCACAAGCTGAACGAATTCACCATACCACTAGCGAGCTGTGACAGTGACTAGCCATTGTTGCCCGTCCCAGGATATAGTGTCTCAATACGGTACGAATTTCAGTGGAATGAATCGGATCTCAACTGGTCGATCGATGCTGCGATACAGATATTTGTGCTGATTGTCCAGGCTCCTAGATGGTCTGAACAAGCTTTTCATGCTCATGTACGTTCCATGTGCATTCCATGCCAATTGATTTTTTGCCTTTCCTGGTTAATATTGACGTCATTGAAATGTTCAGCACAACAAGACAAAATACAAAAATTTTCGTGAATATATTTTTTATTGGTTCCTGCAACTTTTTAGTTCTGCATTAAACCATCGTTCTTTGTAGTTCTTTTTTTGTTCTTTGCAGTTTCTCGCCTGAACACGATTAAGCATTGTAGAATATGAAACATCACGAAGAAACTTCGTAAGTAGATATAGTTTTCCAATTTAGTAACTGATCTTTCGTTTCTAAACTCCAAGAAGCAATCCAGTCGACTGCTGAAAGCAACGTGAAGCTAAGAAGCTGTCGGTGTTGAACAATCCCTAAGGGATGCGCCATGCATTCGACTTAATTAAGTATCGTTTGGAGATGATTGAATGCACATCTGGCCTTTACAATGACTCGTGGTGGCCTACCAATGTACCGACCCAGTGATGCTATCCTCCCAGAGAAGTCTGATACTAATTCGCCGACCCCGGAGGGATGGAAGGCTCGGTGGGCCAGAACGACGTGGATCGATAAAAGGTGTATGTTGCAGGGCGCCTCCGACCACTGTGCCACACGCACCCAAAACAATATAGAACAAAGCAAACATATAAATTGAAACCTGCTGAGGGTTAGCTGTATGAATCGTGTGATGTTCAAACGGAATACTGTAGTTTTAGACAGAGTTGTTCAAATAAGCAAATTTTGAAAGCAGCAAAGTTAGTTATTGCAAAGGAACAACACAAAGTCCATTTCTGATCAACTGATTGTTGTTGTTTGTTTCATTGACCCGTTCTCCTTCTTCATTCTTTGATCGTGGTGTTTGTGTTACTCATAAATCACATAATGCGAACTTGACCCTTTAAAGGCAGTCTCTTCGTAAGCGTTGTGAGACTACTGTCACGCTTTTGTTTCCACTACTACGCTGTAGGCTTAGCACAATCTCTTTTGCTGGACTCCCAAAATCCCATTCAGGGACGTCTTTCATTTCGTCTCACAACAGTTCCCTGCTGGTGAGTGATGATTGAGAGTTCGCGTCCTAGATTTTTTCAAAGATGGTCACCGATTTCTGGCACTGTTACTTCTAGGTGAACTTTCAGGTGAAAAGTTCAAACTTTTTCTCAACCTAAATGATCCTGCAGCGGGAAAAACAGTTCACTAATTTACAATAAGAGTAAAGTGTTTGTGAATCCCATGAACGCAAAGAAAGAACAGGTGACACTTTAAAGTGTTGGCGAGCAACTTGGCAAATATCTCACTCGTTTTCTAATCACATTATCGATAATGAACCTCACAATACAAAGCATCGTCGTTGGAACTGAAATTACAATATTGTCAACATGCCTTTCAAGATTTCTGGATCTCTGTGAAGCTCTCTTCTTTATGTAAAAGCTATAGCTCACACTGATCAGAACTTCGCTGCTTTGTTAGATGGTTTCTTTAAAAAGTTGTTTTTACTATTTAGCAACGGTTAGTGTAACAACAGATTCTTCAACATAGAATCAATTCTATGACAAATTGGCTCATTGGATTCCATTCTGGCTAACGTTTTGGCTCCATAGTCTTTTTTTTTAAAACTGCAATGATACGAGCCTAGTGCCCACAGAAGTTTTTTCTCCTTGCTCACATCAGTCTTCGTATTCGCGACGAGTCGAATTCAGTGGAGTGGAGCACCTCGGAAGTGAAGTAACCTCATGCGACAAGGTTCTCTTACACAGGACAGTTCTTTATCTGAAATAGCCTGTCTTTACTCGGCAATTTCCCAGGATCCAGAATCGTTCCTGATCGATTGCCATGTAAAATTACTTGTTTCAACGGTAACAGTTCACCCTCCAGTAGTTGTAACAATATCACCTTGCATACAAGGCGCGCGTGGCGCAGTGGTCGGAGGCATCCTGCAACACACACGTGGAATCGATCCCCGCACCCATGGGCCATCAAGCCTTCCATCCCTAAGGGGTCGAGAAATTGGTACCAGACTTGTATGGGAGGATAGCAGCACTGGCTCGATACATCATCAGTAGGCCACCGCGAGTCATTGTGAAGGTCAGATATTCATTCAATCACCTCCAAACGGTGCTTAAAGGAGTCGAATGCATGGCGCATACCTCAGGGATTAGTCAACGCTGAGAGCTTTATTCTTTATATAGCAAAGTGATATTCTCAGTATTCTCAGTACCGGCTTGCACCTGAAATGAAATGTTGTTTCAAAATTGTATACAGTACGAATGCTTAGAAATTGCAAACATCATTTGAAGAGTAAAGGGTTAAAGCCGAAATGACTTTTCGGACAGTCTAATGGTAGCGAGTGTGAGTCGTTAAAAAAGAACACAAAGTATGATAACTTTCTTGGCCTTCCAGTGATCAGACGTCTCGAATAATTCACTCTAAACTGTGGGAATGCGGGTGAAAGCTATTCAAAATTCTTCAATCTGCATAGAAATCCCTTATGACTCTTGATATATTTTTCAGTAATAACCTGTCAAGGTGGTCAAAACTATGGAATAATAAGAGTTGTCGAAAATCCTATGAAGGACAATAAGCAGTAATAATTGCATTACAATATAAGTACGAAATTAATATTACCAGTGGGACGTTCTGTACGATTTTCATCGACCAGTCCGTTATTTATTATCGAACAAAGCTCGAATTGAATGTGATTCAGCTTGCATAGCAACGGATTCCCCATCAGCCCGTCACAATTGGCTCTGTTCATCACTTCCCTCTGACTAGTCCGTCGTACACCGCCGATCACGCTCTTGTCGTCATTGGCGACACCATTCTTTTGATGATCTAAGGTTTGGTGAAGCCGGAGAAGTCTCTGAGCCTGTGAATATACGGTAGCATCGTAGGCTCTCAGTTCAAACATATTTTGTAAAGATTATGTGTAAAAAACTTAAAATCATCAATAGATGCCGAGCGTCATCTACACCACGAATCAAAATCGTCTACGAAATTTGTTGAATAGATGTGATTTGATCATGCTTGTTGACAGAAACAAAGTCAACTGTTTTACAACACATAGTTGTCTTAGTCATTCTTCTTCGAATTTCCGTCATCCCTCCTAAATCTTCCTCTCCTTATCAGCCATTTCGATTCCGTTTATATTTCACTGTTTTCATTACCCTTTTCTTCCACCTCTCTATCTTGATCTCGCTCATCCTTCCTGTCTCTCTCAGTTCATTTCTTTTCATTTTAACTCGCTTTGCTTCTTTCCTCTCTGCCTTCTCTTCATAGAACTCATTTCCCACTCCGCCACTCCATATTTCGTTGAGTGTGCGTTTATTTTTTCATCAAAGTTCCCCTTGTTCTCAATTGTTTCCTCTTTCCCCCCCCCCCCCCCCCCGAAACGAAGGACCCGCACGATATGGTGGCGCAAGCGTTGGCCCCTGAAGAGGTAATAGCGAGTTCGTTCCCTACCGCAGACGCCTGCGCTCCGGAGTTTTGCAAATAGTAAGCAATAAATAAGAATTCAAGCACTGCGATTATTGATTGTTTTCATTTTGTGTGGAAAGCGAGAAGGAAATCTCGGCTTCTTTACTCGTAATAAACTCAGCAAGCTGTAGTCTTACCTCTGAACGGAAAAACCCCACCACTTTATAATGGCTTTGCTGATTGAAAACAACGAAAATGCAGAACAGGACAACGAAAACAGTGGTCGAATGGCATTTAACACTGACAGTGGTGAAAATCGAACGTTTGGCAAGAAATTTCAACACCTATTTGTTCATTTAAGGGATTTTAAGAAAAACCGACATAAGAAATTAATGAATAGGGTGTGGAAAATGCCGAAACTTTAAGATTTATTCACTCGCTTGAGAGAGCTCCTAGCGAAGTAGGCCTCAGAATCTCGAATAAAACTATGTGACCACCGATGGGGTACGGTAATGGATCTGGTCGATTTCCATTGCGGACATTTCTTAGTGTTTCGCCTTTACAAATGTTTTCATTTGTCTTGTAGCTTTCTCCATCTCAACACTTCCTACGAATCACGATTTATTTAAATACTTTTTTACTTCGAATTCATTGGGTATTACATTACATCGATGAGTGACTACAATCCTTTGAAGCGAACAGATAATCGATCGATAGGTTTCACGCCCCTGTGTTCTTTCGTGCGCTTAATCCAACTATCTAATCCTTAACGCTTCTTTTCCCATAATTATCCGAATATTCAAAACCGAATGATTTTAAACATGCTTAAGATTTGTTATAACTTATGTTTTTATGACTAGATTACTGTAACTTTAGGATAGCTTTAGTTTGCTTTTAGTTTAAATTTAGTTTATTACAACTTATATTAGTTGTTGTATTAACAAATTCGACAACTCTCTACTTTTCTCAGAAGGTTCCTAAAGTCCATTTTTACGACCTAATTAGTCGGAATCACCATTAAATTGGTCCGACACCATGTAAACACTGTGCTAGGCATCATTTATTGAAGTATAAAGTAGGTAGCTAGCGCAGTAGTGGTGATGCCGCGCATGACGAGCACGGTTCTGGTTCGACCCTGCACTGGGCCCACCAAGTTTCTCACCACTCCGGAAAACAGGTAGCACACCCGTCTGAGAAAGCTCACTGTCTGCAGTCCAAGTGGGAACGCTTTAGCCCACCTATTACAGGACTTCAGGATGAATCTGGTCTACCAGCATTTAAGGACATTTATGGACATTTGCTTAGCTAGGCAATAGTATAATCCGTCTTCACTGATGATGTGGGCCCCAGCACAGTTTCCATCCATTTCTCTCTTGCGCCATTGTCGTCAATGGTGGTGATCAGCTTAAAATATGGTGAAGTGAGTGAAATCCATTTCGAAAACCTAAAATCGCCCCCATCTGGAAATTCAAATAGTTGACGTTAGCCACGAACATATGCGCCCATCGTTTGGGTGGTCGTTCGAGAAGACGCTTGTATTAGCTTGGAGTCCATTCCACTTTTGTGTTCCTCCACCTCTCATCTGTTCTTCTTATCATGTGACTGGTCCAACAGCTTCGCTATCGATGTTTGTTCTCCTGAACTGATACAAGATGGTCTCCGTAATCAGAGAAGTATCCAGTTCGATTTTTTCGCCTTCGCACCATGAGTTGTTTACGAACTAAGTCTTCACCTTATTTAGGTGCGAGTTCAATCTTTTTTCCCATTCTAATGAGTTCATTGAACATCTTGTAAATCTTGTAAAGCGTGCGGGCACGAATATGTTGGCGAAACGGGTAGACCGCTCTGCGTCCGCATAAAAGAACACCTAGTCGGTAAATCTAAACTAAAACACAATACTCCACTAGGCGCGCATAGGATGCAAGAACACAACGGAGAAGATTTTGAGGTAGGAGTCACTATCCTTACGCAGGAATCGAAAACATCAGCGCGTAAAACTCTTGAAGCGTTTTGGATCAATGCCAAAAATTCAAAAATGAACCGCAAGGAGGAGTGTCTTGTCATCACGCGTGACCTAGCGCCATACCTCAGGCTGATCCAATGATCTGACATGGACCCAGTTATCGACCATGTATTACTCTGTGCGGCGGCTATCCACCAACTAACTTAAATACTTACGACAAATAAACGGTAGGTGTTTGAATGAAGCTGTTTCTTATGCGAACACAAATCGATTTATCAAGTTTTATCTGCTAGGGTTATGAAAGTGTTTGGCTGAGTAGATCACATCTCAATTTGACCTTTCCAGGCTCTGAAGAAGGCGAAACCGCCGAAACGTCAGCAATTGTGTTCTAATAAATTCTATATTAACAACCTCGTGTCTGCTTATTGATGAAAAACATTGAATTATCATTGAACATCGTCGCTGGTTCACCGGTACTTCTCGGAAAAGTGATGATATCGTCTGCTGAAAGAAAATTTGATAAGAATTCTCCATCAGTACGTATGCCTTTTTCACTCCAAGCGAGTGACTTTATCATCCACCGCAGTGCAGCACAACCTTATCGATATTGTGTCACTTTGTCGAACTCCTTTTCCTATGGGTATGGTAAGAGGTCGATGGAAAAGCTGTATTTTCGTGGTCCCAATTCTCACAACAGTCAGATAGAGTTCTTACGTAGGATGAGTCTCCTCCTTGGACGACGAGTGCTGACAGAGTGCATTGCTTTCGACACTGTCAAACGCTTTTTCATAGTCGATAAAAGTCAGAACTAGAGGCAAGTGGTATTCCCTAATTTCCAATAAACTCCCTGGATACGGTTTGAATTGGGTCCATGCTGCAGAATCCTTGTCTGGATTCTGCTGTTGTGTCTCAGTCAATGTCCTTAATATGCGCGAAAGGATAATCTTCTTGAACGGCTTGTAGAGTATACTGAACGAGCACATTGGGCAATAGTTACTGGAACTGAGGTGTCAAAGAAGAACCATTTTCTGTTCGTGGAAACATGATCGGTCTCCGGATGGGTCATGCTGTTAGCAGACTCCCACGTCCTTCGGCGATTTTCTCTCTTCTCGAAAAATGAATTCCCATGGAAGAGTTGCTGAGAGAAGGACCCTTGCAAGACGGCTACTATTCTCATTTCGCTCTCCTATTTCGGATTTCTCTATTTATTTTGTGTTCATTTCGTTTCGGAAACATCTAATCAATCATGAATCGATAAGCCAATTCTTACCCAAGAAGACGGTATGTTTTTCACTGATTGCAATCAAAAAGCGTAGAAATGTCATACGATTATTTTATGCAGTGTTCTTATTCATGGGTTGCCCACTCGCAGGTGTTCTTCATGCAATGTTAGGCTCATGATTTGTTATTCTACTGGCTAAAATATTATACAGTAAGTGGTCATTTGAGGAAGACACGAAGACACTTTTGTAAAAACGTTGCAATTTTTCTGATTGAACTAGTAAGGAACGATATTTCTTTTCCGAAGATCCACTTTCTACTAACCTCGGCATTGATCAAACAGTACTCTACGTTCCTTTTGAGCAAACACAAGGTGTTCCTTTATTTTTTTATCACGGTACGGTAAAGCTGACGCAAATCCCGTCTTATTCAGAGCTTAGAAAGTACTTCCATGGTAAAACAGAGAAAGTAATAAGCCAAAATCTCTGAATAAGACGAAATCCGCCGAAATGTCAGCTTTGCCGTAATACAGGTATATTTCTCTGTTCTACTGTCGAGAATTTTTGGCAGACGTTTCCGCTGTTCAGCGAAAATTCAGCAAAATCGTTCCGTTGTAACAGCAGTTTGTCGACGTCACCATTTATTTCGGAAGCTCTGAATTGACTGGCTGGTTTTATCGATTAGGGAGACGTGCAACTTTAGCATATTCCTGTCATATGCATTGATTTCAATGCCAGAGTGGTCGAAAGCTTCAAATTTACGCCACTTACCTCAACAAACGCACATATAGCGCAGTGATATGATGGTGGCCTATAATAATACGTGGTCGTTGGTTTAATTCCGCACCCCTAGCTAACCAAGGCTTCTATTCATCCGGAATCGGCAAACTGGTAGCGAATTTGTCTATGAGGATAGCGGCACTGAACTAATACATCTATATGCCAGAGAAAGTTATTGTAAAGGCGAGATATGCATTAAATTACTTCTAACGATGCTTGATAAAATCGAATGCATGGCGCATCGCTAAGGGATTGACCAACGCCAAACGCTCTATTCTTTTATCTTTTACTTCAGCTCACAGTGAAGATTATTAATTGCAATGAAACTATTAGAAACCATAGATCTTTGGGAATTGAAAGAAAGTCTTTACCACTCTTACTGTGAAGTTGCGTTTTCCTGCAGGTGTGATTTCCTCTACGCTCTTTTTCGTAAAGGCTTGTGTCTCATGCGATGATAGGATCAAATGGACAAATTTTATCCAACAAGACGCTATAAGATGACTTTTGTTCTTTGTTGCCTTTCCACTAACT